CCTTACAAGTTTTTGAAAAGCAAAATTCATAAGTAACCAAGGAATGAGGACGGAACCAAGGAGGAGGTCATGCAAAGCAAGAGGGACTCTTACCGCGCGCGCAGTACGGAGACTAAATCCGGAAGAGGCTCCCATTTGGGAGAATTAGGTCTTCAACCTCCGCAGGCGTGAGATTGGTACCAGGTTCGACTGGGAGGATGACAGCCTGACTTGCACGTCAGCTGGCCCCTCAAGTCAGCGTAGAGGCTACGTGGGACTCGAGAAGCCTTACAATACCCAAAGAATGTACAATGATGATCCCTGCGAAAAACAGGACTTCTGAAAGGAGCTAGTTTGGAGAGCAGTCATATCAGATTTCCCACCCGTTGTAACGGGCTCATGGCATCATTGGAGGAAAAGGGTGCCCTGGCTGCGCTCCACTACGCGCGTCGTCGCTCGGCACCTACGCATCTAATATTCGACAACAGCATATCGAGGAATTTCGTTACCTCTGCTTCACGTAGTTTCTGGTTGCCTCTCTGGAGATGCTGCTGTTGAGAGGGTCGATGCAAACGGCACTTGGAAGGTAACAAGTCCGCAAGGTACCGTATCTTAAAGACACATAGTACGCTCACACATTGAGGGTGTATGTGACTAGCAGCCCCCCAGCTGTCGAAGCATAGCGGTTTCCCCGTTCAAACATGCGCAGGAATGGAGATACAGGACCGTGAAACACGCTAGTTCGTCCATGCTCCGCCCAATGCCTTTTTGCGGCGCAGATTCCCGTCCTTCATAACATCCGTCGTAAGCGCGCGTGTCGCGTGCGGCTCCTTGGCACTTTGCCAAGTCCTTTAATTGCGCTTTCAAATACAAGTAAAACGCAATTTCCTGATGCGGATAACATTGGAGGTGCTGCAAAATAAGAACAGAAGATGATGACGAGGGTCAGAACTTAAAAGCAACTGTGCCACTTCTGCAACATCCCTCGGAGGCCGCGTATTTCCACGAAACATGAAAATAAAAACGGCATACTCGTTAGTTTAATACAAGCAAAACGCAATTTCCTGATGCGAATAAAATTTTAGGTGTTGCTCATGCTTCAAAATCCATGTACAAGGAGATGAAGATGACACAGGCTAGAAATGAAGCACAACGATGTAAATGTAAATAAAACAAAAATGAAAAAATCAAGGAAAGGCAAATTAGTTAAAATCGCCTGTAAATTTCTACGATCCGGCGCGAATCCGGCGCCAAAGCCATAGAAATACTTAGAACAAACGAGTGGGACGCCTTGGGCTACTTTCTCCTGTTTTGTGGGAATGCACGGCCTC